GAAATGCACATGTACACAATATTTAGCACAATATCAGGATGATCACAGGCCCTTTGAAGCCCTATGTTGAACCCCTAGGAGGATGCTGTCACTGGAGGAAGGCTCTTTTAGTTTCCCCAAGTGCACCGTTCTTTGAGCTATAAATATATCACCTATGGCTCCAAGAGAATACATGTAATGCCCAGAGCCTCATACAGTGGTATTCAGTTAGGATTTTTTGAATAAATGGGCTTGAAACTACTAGGTATAACTAAACATCACCACTCTGGATGCCCCAGGCAGGGCATCATGATTCAGAATCCACTGAGATGTAATAAAAAGTTCCATTTGGAACAATGAGGCTGGCAAATTGTCCACCTTCCTCTTGTCTTTGACCATGGCCTGAAACGTAAGCTCATTTACTAGTACTGTCCTCCCATGAATTCTCCCCAATCTATTCTGTGTCCTCCTCCTGCTACTCCCCTCCCCCTCCATCTTTCCATCTGGGCCCAGGCTTCCCAAAGTTATTGCTGCCCCTGCAACCTCCAGCAGTGAGGTGGGGGGTGCCATCTTGCTACCACGATTCTTGATGAAGTGTCCATAAATGACCAAACAAAAATCCCAGCTCCCTTATGATCTCTTGATCTCCTCAATGACTTACTTTCTCCTAACTAGCTTCGACTGTCCTGGCCGTACCCAGAACTGCTCCATGTCCTCTTGTGCTCTGATGCTTTTCAATCTCATACCCTACCTCAAATCCCCTTATACTCTGAGTTCCCCATAGTCTTTTCCTGGCCATGCTTCCCTCTCCACACATCCCAAACCATCCTCTTAAATTGTACTCAACCCCCTCCATCCTTCTGCTTCCCTTCAGTTCTGCCTAATGATTTGGACGTGGGCCTCGCTTGGAGCCTAGATCATGATCTGCCTCCTTTGTATCTTGCCTGGACTGCTGAGCATGGCTCAGAAAATCATAACCTTAAGGCCTGGTGCTATTGCCCACTGTTTGTAGGATAGGATCTTCAATAGCCAGACCAGCTTGTCCTAGTCCATGGTTAACCATCTCTCCCACACTTTCTACATATTCCCCTCAAACTGCTAAAACCCTACCATGCCTCACTCACAGCAGACAACCTCGCTTCCTCCTGTATCAGACATGGGATTCCTCCACTTCCCATCTTCTCCACCTATAAACTAGACTAATTCTGAAACCTGCCTAGTACCTTCTTCCCGGATTAGCACCAGCTTTTATTCCTGCTCCCCAGCCAGTCTTCCACAGGACTCCTGACCTCGTTCCATTGCCTCTAAGCCCTTGTTTCTTTAATTATTTCACTCAAAAAATGTTTGTCAAGATTACTATGTACTGGGCCCTGTTCTGGACGCTGGGATATGGTAGGGAAACCAAGACAGACAAAATCCGGTCTTTTGCTGGGGGGTAGGGGAGTGGGTGTGAACAACAATAAATAAGTAAAAACTTCAAGTAAACAGGGTAATTTATCTTTTCATAGATTTATCAATGAAGCAGGGGGAAAACTAGCATTGATCCTTGAGGGACCAATTTAAGACTGATTGAGAAGTAAACCCTCAATCGGTTCTCCCCTGCCTCCAGTGAACCCTGGTCTCATTCTAAAGACAGCCATCCAACCTTCCTTGCCCCTGCACTGATCCCTAGTTACATCTTTCTTCTCTGCTCTGCGGACTTTCTTTAAAGATTACTCTACATGTGCTATCTCCACATTCTTTCCTTTTTATTTAATTGACTTTTTAGTTGAAACTGTAATACAAACAGAAGAAAACGGGAACAACAACAAAACTGTAGGGAAAGCTATTATACTTAACCATCCAGTCACTCCTCAACCTATCATAATCCAGTCTCTGCTTTACCACTCCATTGAACCATTCTGGCAAAGGTATCTGATGAGTGTCCCTCCAGAGGGTTAAGTCTGAATGGACATTTCCCGCCTTACCTTTTTATAACTCAGTATTCCCAACCCTCATGACCTCCCTTGGCTCAGACAACACAGTTTTGTGAGGTTACAACACAAGCCCTTCCTTCTCTGGTGCCTTAAACATTGAAGTTAAATGCAGAGTTCCACCTTAGCCCATCTTCTCTTTCTATAAGCACCCACCTTAGGTAGGCTGACCATGTAGTTCTTATCATCCTGATGGGACGCCTTTGAGAGTGAAAGAGGGCAGGATTAATAATTACTACTCTTGACTAGCAGGTGTAAACCAAGATTGTCCCAAACAAATCAGGATATATGGTCACCCTATTCTTAGGAGGTCACATCCACTATTACGGTTTTAACTAACACATACCTATTAACCATTTGCAAAACTGAATCTGCAGCCTTGATTCTGACATTGAGCTTTATTTTCCAAATCTTCAGGTTATGATTTCCCACAGATCTCAAATTCAGTAGGGTCAAAACATAATCATTTCCATTCCTAAAACCTGCTAATCCTTGTATTTCCTACCTAAGTTACACATATTACCCAGTCACTCAACTCTCCAAGCTGGGGACTGTTTTAGACCTCTCTCACCCATGGTATTTAGTCACCAAGACATACTGACTTCAGTTTTGAAGATTTCTTTAATCTGCAATTTTCCCCCTGGACTACTGTCATAACCTTTTTTCTGATTTTCTTGCTCTACCCTTGCCTCCTTTAAGTCTTTTTGCCACGGTGCCACCAGAGTGATCTAACACTGACTGTACTTTTGCTTTGAATCCTTCAGGAGCTTCCTGTTATTTATAGGATAAAGACTTTCATCATGATCCTATCCCTGTTCACTTTCTTTGGTCTCATAACCTATCAGTCTCCCTTTGCAATCTAATACCAAATGCCTTGTAGAAACACACACACACACACACACAATCCCCCATTAAAACTGTTTCTTACTTCCAAGCCTTTGTTCACGCTGTTCTTTCTGCCTGAACTGCAGATCCCCTTATTTAATTTGCCAACATCTATACCATTTTCTCTAGTCACTTACAGCTGGCCCAGAGGGGAGTTCAGTGCCTCTCCTTTATTTTTTTTAAAGATTTTATTTATTTATTTGACAGACAGAGAGAGAGAGCACAAGCAGGGGAAGAGGCAGAGGGAGAGAGAGAAGCAGGCTCCCTGCCGAGCAGGGAGCCCAACGTGGGGCTCGATCCCAGGACCCTGAGATCTTGACCTGAGCTGAAGGCAGACGCTTAACTGACTGAGCCACCCAGGCTCTCCTTTAAACTTTCATATTATCTCAACCACAGCACTGGATATGTTAGTTTAAAATTAATTATGTCAGTCTTTCCTACTAGTTGAAAAACTTCTTGAGCATAGGGGCAATGGCCCTTAAATATTTAATGGTCATCCTATTTTTAGGAGACCTCATCCACTGTTCTGGATTCAACCAAGCAAATTAAAATAAACTGGTCTAAATACTGAAATGAATATACAACTTCATTATCCCTGCATTTTTCCACATGTGCCCATATGTTTTATAACATCAATAGATGGGACTGAAAATGTGTAAGGGCTTTAGCAGCCAACAATTTGCCTGTTTTATGAAATTATTTTAAAAAGTAGAAATTTTAAAAAGTAGATCTTAGCATAGGAGACAGGATTAAATTTTTTAAAAAATATATAGTTGGGATACACCAAAGTTAAGAAAAGAGCAAATACCTAATTGTTTAAGACTACAGAAAATCAAAATACATTTCAACAGTTGTTTGAATTGGAAAATTCTGTGAAAAGATTATCCTAAACCATTTTTTTAATAAAAGAGGCTACTCATTCCTTTTGTTTTTTATTATTTGTATTAAAAAATTCCTACTACTTTAAAATGAGAGATTAGTATCCAAATATTCTAAAATCTAGTATCCATCAAATCTACCCAAACATCTTTCTCTGCTTTCCAGATGTTAGCTCTTATGATTTCCATGTTCTTATATGATTAGCTCTGACTTAGAAAGAAGGAACTTTTCACTTAGTCTGTCAAAACCCAAACTCTTTGACCTTCAAGGCACAGAAAAAACCCACAATTTTTGGATAAAATGTGGTGCTCCTGTCACTTATTCATTCAAGTAATTTTGGGGGAATTAAAACAGTATAATCTAAAATTTTAAAGAATATTATTAGTGTCCCCAGAGGCATAACAAGAGCATCTGGCGCCACTGGTATTCAGTAAACAAATAAAGAGAACCACACAGCAGTGTAACAGTCAAGATTATGAATGACTCCAAACAGTTTATGCTCTTCTGACAAAGTCCTACTCCTAAGAGTTCTCTTTTTTTAATTTCCTATTTAATCATCACTTTGTGCAATCTTCCTAATTATATTTTGGCTTACAAATCTTGTTTTGTGAACAGTGATTATTTTTCTGAGAAGGAAAACAATTTGAGGTATTTCAAAATTTAAAACATGCTCTGATATTTTCTTCAAGCCGAAGATTATCAGACTACCCCAAACAGACAGGCACTGGCTTTCCAGCTATGGCAAGCATCCTAAGGTAGATCTCATGAGATAGGAATGTGTCTACCATTTGGCAATCTACTGAGAAATACATTTGGCCAAAATATAACTGAGAAGAAGTTAAAATATCTTTAAATGTAATATTTATTTTTTATTGGCAAGTTGTTGATACTATAAAAATAGCTCCTATCTCCTGATAAATATCTTTGAATACTCCCTACCTGTCAGAAGGTGGAGCTCTAAACATATCTGAAATACAGGCTTTTTAGTTGTGCGTTTCACAAATGGGTGTAATGAGGAGATTAAAGCAGCAGTAAAGTCTTTAGAAAAATGGCTCTGAAGAATATTCCAATTCTCTCAGGATAAAATCACCCATATCTCCCAATATGTACATAGTTAACTAACAAAAAAGATATTTAGCATGCTCCTTTGAAACTTCAATATATTACCTACTATGAAAATGTAGGCACGGTAATTCAGAGTAAGAGAATAAGTATATTTAAAAGATGTAACATTAAAAAACTCAGGACCACCTACTTGGACATAGGCAAGGTCGTGACACTTACAAGCATCTCGGATGTAGAGCAACATGGCTGTGAAGACATAATCCACTAACCCCAGGCTGAGGCCGTCTGCAAACAAGGCATCCCAGACCACCAGAAGGTCCTGCAGGGGGAACTCTCGTCCAAACAGCAGCCGGACCCACCGTCTGCAAAGGGTCGAAACCAAAATTCAGAAATGAGTACTTCTGAAAGTAATATAAAAAGGAATCATTTTCTCCTACACTTGTGAAAAAAACTGCAATTTTTAACTGATCACACTGAGTAAATATTATATATCCAATATATAATACGGTAAAATCCAAGTTTTAAGCTTTCAAATGAATTTTGTAATTTTATAACTGGGCCACAATCATTCAAGTTTATTCCTATATGTCTAAAGTACTAGCATGATATTTGAAAAGGGTAGAAATCTTTCATATTTAACACAAATCCCAAATCTCAAAAGGCAAAGAAGAAAATGAATGCACAGTGGTCTGCTAGTGGCCTCACAGATAAGGTTAGGAATTAAAAAATAAAATTTTCCAAAATTTTATGATCACTACTGATTTTGTCGTTGTTGTTGTTAACTGGACTTTTGCAAATAACTGTACAACAAATTAACTATAACCAAGAAGAAAACTGCATTCTCACATTTCACTCTTATTTTAAAATATTCATTTTAAAATGAAATGTGGGAAAAAACAGTAGATAGATAGATAGATAGATAGATAGATAGATATAGTCAAGGGTAGACAGTTATTTCAAATGAAACAAATAGTAATACTTTATTTTTAACTTTAGAATAGATATACTTTATTAGTGAGGTTATCTTTTGAGGGCTGTTTTTAAAAACAGAGTCACTTCTATGGCCAGGAAAATTGGGTATCTACGCTATAAGCACATATAGGCAACTTATAAGAATACTAAACAACGTCTGTATATAATTATATGTCATAAACAGCTATACTTCAAACTTTCAACAAACACTAAGCTATTCATAATTCTTATAAGAAAATTAAAATAATTCACTTTGATATCCATTTTAAATCCATTTATTTCTAATTCTATATAGCACGGCTACAATTTCCTTACACAAACCTTTCTACAGGAATTTCAGCTAGAATTCTATGTGGTTCTGGCATATAACAAAGAATCAAAAATTCCAAAATTTCTAGTATACCAAGTAGTACAGAAGAGAGGGAATTCTTTAAAAATTAGTTAAAAGAGATGACCCCTTTGCAAAATTAGAAACCAAATATAACCATCTGTGGGGTTAAAGTGAGCACTTATTCCCCCCCACACCTCAGAATTCAATTACTTTCTTCAGGGAGTATCATATTTAAGGAGAAATGAAAGCTGTGACAATATAGTGTAGAATCACACAAATGTATCACAGTTATTAGGAACCATATACTATATAATCAAATACTAAAGTTCTTTCATTCATATTATCAAATTAATCAACAGATTAATTAAATTGTATTTTTAATTACATCTTAAATTATGATACTCAATTTTTCAGGAAAAAGAAATTTAATGCCTAAGTAACATTTATCTTTTTAAAAATGTTAGAGTATCATTTACAATTTTTATTTATCTTTCAATTCTTACTCCACTGCTAATATGAGGGTGACTAAAACAAAATATTTTTTTGGTCTAATATTGCCTGCATTTATGTGGCTTGGGGAAAAATATTCTTTCTCTACATACTTTTAATTCTTTCAAATTACAAATGCCAATATTTACTATTTAAAGAAGTACAAAAATATCTCTAAATTACATAGGATATTCTTAATGACAAAGAATTAACTGGTCTTGCAAGGAGTATCAGGGGAACCAGAGAATGGGCAAATCAAAAAGTACCTGGATTAAACCATTTTACGCATCTGTTTAAAGGATCTTTAAACTGATAATTATATCTGCATTATTAAATGACTAAACAGAATGTGGTCATTTATAGTTATTCAACTGATACAAAAGGGAAGAAAAATTCATCAGTGAAAAAAAATGAGGATCTAAAGTGTAACATGTTGACCGTAGTTGGTAACCTATACTGCATAATTAAAATTTGCCAAGAGAACTAAAATATTCTCACCATAAATGAATGAATGAATGAATAAAATGTGTGAGGTGATGGATGTGCTAATTAACAAAATGGGAGGAATCCTTTCACAGTGTACACATATATCAAATCATTACAATGTACACTTTAAATATCTTACAATTTTATTTGTCAATTATACTTCAATAAAGCTGAAAAATAAAATAATTAAGAATTATCTTGGTTTGGGCGCCTGGGTGGCTCAGTTGGTTGAGTGTCTGCCTCAGGCTCAGGTCATGATCCGGGGGTGGGGGGGTGGGGGGGTTATCCTGGGATGGAGTCCTGCATGGGGCTCCCTGCTCAGCGGGAAGCCTGCTTTTCCCTCTGCCTCTGCCCCTCCCCCAGCTTGTTCTCTCTCTCCCTCCCTCCCTCCCTCAAAGAAAGAAAGAAAGAAAGAAAGAATTATCTTGGTTTAATAGGCAAATTTTAGCAGTTTCAAAATAGAAAATTCTGACATTTAACTGATCCTTCCTGGTTCGAATCTGGATATCAATACAAAATTCAAGAATTACACCTATGTAATGGTAGTTACACACTTGAGGTGAGCATAGCATAATGTGTAAACTTGTCGAATCACCATGAAACTAATGTAGCATTGTGTGTCAACTATACTCAACTCAAAGAATTAAAAAAAAAAAAAAAAAAGAATCACACCTATAAAATTGCACTGTGCCTTGAACTCACTCCTTTCATTCATGGAGGTTATTTTAATAAGTAAAATTTGAATAAGCCCATTCATGTAACTAAGGCTGGTGTTTCCTGAAAGACATTACTTTTGCTTAGCCTTTTTTTTTTTTTAAAGATTTTATTTATTTATTTGACAGAGAGAGAGAGAGAGAGACAGTGAGAGAGGGAACACAAGCAGGGGGAGTGGGAGAGGGAGAAGCAGGCTTCCCGCTGAACAGGGAGCCAGATGCTGGGCTCGATCCCATGACCCTGGATCATGACCTGAGCCAAAGGCAGATGTTTAACAACTGAGACACCCAGGCGCCCCTTTGCTTAGCCTTCTTATGTGTGTGTGTGTGTGGGGGGAATTTTCTGTGTGTTTTTCCTGCTACCTCCCATTGAAAGCAAAATGACTTTTGAGAAAAGCTGACATCTATCATGCTAAAATAGACATCATTTAGCAAAGAAAAAAAACTGATGAAGGTTAATATTCACCACAGAGAATACAATATCATCTTTTTGCCCCTTACTTAAAGCCCAAAGTCCTCAGATTTTCTTATGGACAATCACAGCTTTGGTTTCATCACAGATGGTGCTTCAAGAGGAAAGAAAAAAGAAAAGAAAAGAAAAGAAAAAAGAAAAGAAAAGAAAAAGAAAAGAAAAGAAAGAAGGGAGGGAAGGAGGGAGGAAGGAAGGAAGGAAGGAAAGAAAAAGAAAGAAAGAAAAGAAAGAAAAAGAAAGGGAGGGAGGGAAGAAGGAAGAAAGAGAGAGGGATGGAGGGAGGGAGGAAGGAAGGGAGAAAGAAAAGAGAAGAAAAAAAATAGCCCCCTCCTTTTAAAGAAATTATGTATTTCCTATTATTTCTACAACAAAACACCCAGTTACTGCTCAAACTCATGCAACTTTCCTGCTGCTTGGGGTTTTGTTAGCTTAGCTTAAAAAAAAACCCCACAGATACATATGTGCAGCAATCTCCACTGCAGTACTATCAAGGAGGGAGAACTGCAAATATCTAGTAATCTACATTGAATAAAACATATCATCAAAACTACACACAACGTAAGTCTTCAGTACTTTTATATTTAATGTGTAATCTATGATGTGCTGCTTTATAAATGTTTCACATTGCTTTATTTTTGAAGTTTCACCTTGCCAAGTACACTGCTAAATAATTCCAGGGCAAGGACCAAATTCTGTGTGTGTGTATGTGTGTGTGTGTGTGTGTGAGAGAGAGAGAGAGAGAGAGAGAGAGAGAGATGGAGACAGAGAAACATCCAGAAAGTTCTTTGTAAAGAGCTCTGTATACTTTGCTAAGTGCTCTATGTGTTTACCAAGGTCTTGATAAACTCACTGTGAAGCCACCTGTCATGCTACTGAGAGGCAAAGGTGCAGCTAAATTGAAAGTACAGGCAGTGATCTTGTTAGTGGCAACATAAAAATAATTCAGGAAGTGGGAAAAAAAAAAACAGAAACACATAAGGAAAAAAAATTTATTATTAGATACTTGGCATGTTCCTTTTATATAAGACTGTTATACATGCAAGGATATAAAATTAAAGCAAAACACAGTTTCCTGTATTTTATATGTGATTATAGGAAAATTAAAACCAAATTCTCAAAATATTTAAGTAGTACTGTATGACTAATGGAAAGCTTTGGGACCAACAATGACCTGATCAATAATTTAATCATTTTAAACCCTACTGGATTTAGTTCATACATATATTCACCACACACAAAATTTCCTGTGCTATTTTGGGCTTTCTTCATTGAGCTCAAAAGCCAAGGAAAAATTCCGTTCTTTATGGAATGAGTTACCAACAGAAATTATTTCAGTAAGCTTTTGTATTCTTAGAAAGGAAAACTTACTCGAAGAAATGAGGTCTTATAAAGAAGTCACTCCTAAAATTAACATGCTTTTATTGCAGTTAAAAATATTTAGCGCAAGTTTAACTTACACTTAAGGGTAGCATTAAGGCTTTCTTTTCCCCTTAAAGATAGCTTCAGTTTAATTGCTTGATACTATTAATCTTGCTTTATGTTTGTTACACCTGCAGATTGCAATGCTCATAACTGTACACATTTTATCTCTTGTGATAATGCAATAATTCATATTTTACTAGACCTACTTAGTAATTAAAATCTACACAAACAAAAAAAGACCATTTGAGGTATTAAATCTAATAATAAACCACCGAAAGATAGGGCTGTTTCTATGTCTGCACTCATACCACTATTCTCAATTTAAAATTTCTGTGTAATTAAGCTGCTATCCCCCCAGGGGATCAGTAACTCCTAATGGTATTATTGCTTGGTGAATGACCCAAACACCAAGAGAAATCCATTTTTTTAGCAGTTAATGAAAATGACCAATTTGAGGTTCAACTAAACATAGCCTTC